GTACGAACAAAAGTAAGAGAAATTTAGGATAAGAGTACGGACATGTTCTTGCATGAGGCCCATTGTGCTGATTTCAGCTACTTTTCTTTAGCTGTTTTTAGGCTGGTTTAAGCTTTTTTTTAGATATTCAGTAAAAATCTTTCAGCATTAAGCATTCACACCGCATTTTTACAGGACATGCAAATTGTGTAGTTAAAATTGCTTACAGTGTGTGAGTTTTTTTGACTCATCACTGTTAGTCAGATTCAACTGATGAAACATGACAAAGCTTTAAATGTTGAAGCGATGACCTGAGTCACTTCATTAGTCCTGATTAGTTCCAGGAAGGTGCGTCTCCACCTCACCTTGTTCCTGTCAGAGTTTGTGCACACAGGGTCCTCAGCCGCCAATGCAATGCTGCTCGCCACAATCACAAGAAGGATGGTCATCTCAAAATAGCGTAGAGTGACCACATAGTGACAAATCCTCCTGATACTGAGGGGCAGCAAAGAAAAAAAGAAACATTGTTTAGCAWCTGATCTGTGACTTTGTAGATTGTGTGCTGCAGCTTACGGGTTGGAGGCTTTGAAGATGAACATGCTGTCAGGAGCTTCGGGTTTAGGAGGTACAGGAGGCTCCTCCTCCTCCTCCTCTTCCTCTGTCTCCTCTTCATCCTCTTTCTGCTCAGACTGGTACGCCTCCAACTCTTTACTGTTCACTACAACACAGACAGAGAGGGGAACATTTTCAGCTCTAAGTGGACAGCTAGGACAAAGAACAACATGAGTCACCACCACTTTCTGCAAAAAAAAAAAAAAAGGAAAAAAACATTCTAGTGGCTTCTGATATTAGAATTCACCTACACTGGTACAGTGATACTGACACAAAATGTCTTACAGCAGTGTGACAGCAGTGAGAAGGTACTACCTGTCACCGGGGTGAGCTCCAGAAGTGGTCGTGCTGACATTTCGATGGCCACGCTGCCTTCCACCTTGGGCTTGTTATCACGTTTGACCGAGATCTTGCGCTTCTCCGACTCGATGGTACTCACGGTGAACTCGGTGGCCTCCACGCCGGGCTCCACTGGGACATTTTGACTCAAGGGTTCATACTGGTCTGCGATGCTGCCCTTCACTTGCTCCGACCAGGTAGAGTCCAGCAGCTGCTCGCACTGGGGAGGATCAGGACTGTCGCCGCTGGGAGCAGCATCTCTGTAACGGCAAGTTTAAAATACAGTTGAGGTACATTAAATTAGTTACATGAAGTTTTATAGAAATTGACCATAATTAGTGAATTCTCATGCAGTAAAACTTTAGTCAGTGTTGCGGTGAGTATTRTATTAGCTAGATTGCAAAAAATTAGTACAGAAACTCAAATCCTATTGAAATGAATAGAAAACCAGATTTGTATCTAGTAACATTTCAAAATATAACAATCTGCTTTGATTTTTAACTTGCATAATCAAAAACACTTCAATTCATTCAGCTTTTTTTAAATTTGTGAAAACATATATTGACGCACTAAATTTAAATTTAAATGTAAAAAAATCCTGTTCAACAAGATACTGTGATGTTAATCACTGTGTTTTTAAGCTACAGTAGGGAGCTCTTAAAAAACAAACAAACAAACAAAAGATTAAACAACTCAGCCTGAAAATTTGAACAAGCACGCCTTACAGGTCCCTCCTCCCTTGCTTTAAGCTGCACTACAGCCCCCCTTACTGGGAGGAGCCAGAGGAGCTTTACATTTTTTCACAGATTATGGTCCAGTCCCAATGCTCAGTGCACACCCTACGCCCCCTCTGTGAAGTGTGGATTCAGTCGAAGTGCATACAAGTGTTCGAGTGCGCAGGTTACAAGCGTGCAAAAAAATTGAGAATTGGGACAGTATGGATTATGTCATCAACTTGAGCCTCTGCGTCGTGACTGCGACGTCCAACATGGCAGGACCAGCCACTGTTTTGGCATTTGTATTGCTAAAAATGATAGTACAACAACAAAGAGCAATTGTTTTTAGGAGAAGAAAGTGCATGAAGCGAAGGAGGCTCATACATCAGAGTATGAGAACCAACTGCACGTAAGGGTGAAAATAGTTCCTAAAATGGGCGGGGCGAAGGGCRGATGTGGAGAATGTGGGACGCACTACGCACTCAAAGCCTTCAACATGAACACGGAATTCAAGTGCACAAGGGCAGAACGAGGGTGGGAATGTGAGTATTGGGACAGGGCCTATCTGTCTCATATTCCACTGTCAGTACATAGTGACAGTTTTAATAAACATAAAAATACTATTTTATAAAAGTTTCATACTGCACTTTTAAAGTGTTGCATTTATTAGTTTCATATGTCTTCTCTTCTGTTTAACATTCGATGTGTTTCCAAACTTTCCGCATGTTACGGGTGTTTCGGAGAAACTGAGACGTTTATTTTCTAAACATGATGTCCCAGTGGCTTTCAAACCCCAAAAC